TTCAAAAAGGTAACATTCCACTTCCCACCAAAGACCTTCTTCGTTTTCAGAGAACGTTTTATCTTCTTGCAAATAAACACGCCCTAAGAGTGAGGCTATTCTAAGTCGACTTGGACTTATGCATGAGGATCATATTATGTTTTGTACAAATTGAAGGTTTCAACCTAGGAAGATCTATGGAATCGCTATTATCCTATGCTAATTGATTTCATAATTCCATGAGATTATGCCTTCTATTTACTTAGTATCCCATGAAAGTTAAAACTATTAGTGGTGTCTCTTATTTTGTTACCTTTATTGATGATGTTTCGAAAAAAATGCTATGAAAAACAAAGATGAAGTCTTTGAGATTTTTTAAACTTTTTGCATTAAAGTTGAAAAGGAAACAGGAAAGCCTTCGAAACACATTTGTACAGATAATAGTGGGGAGTATACTTTTAAAATGTATACGCTGCCATAATTATAGCATTACTATTCCCAATACCCCTCAACATAAAGGTATACTAGAAAAGATGAGCCGTACTATTGTGAAAGAATAAGGTATATGCTCCTGCAAAATTGCAAAGATCTTTTGGGATGAAGCTAACACGCACTATATAATACTTGATTAATTTATCCCCATTAGCTTCAGGAATTATCCAAAAAGAGTGTAGACGGGTAAGATGGCTCATATGAACACTTAAATAAGTGTTTGATTGCAAGGCATCTATCATGTACAACAAGAACAAAGGTCAAATTTTGATAACAAGTCAACAAAGTGTATATTATTTAGTTCATGCAAATGAAAACTTTTGCTAAACTCCAGGATGCAGTACTTTTTGTGAAGACCAAATAATTGGAAACTTTGAACAAATTATTGACCAAATTATTCCTGAATGTTTTAGTCGTATTTTGGTCAAGATATTTGTTTTGAAATAATTTTATTATTTTAATTTGGTACATCTTATAAAATTAAATCCACACTCCAAATTTTAGTTAAAAAATAATTATATAAAATAAAAAATAGAGTTATTTTTTATCATTGGATATAGCCTAGCACAATTTGAACCATTTAAGGGTGTGCACCATTCAAGCGTCTACATCATGTCCACATCCGGTGCACACTACACCATCCCTGCTCATTTCCTAGTAGTCCTGGGGACATTGACAAGATCATCTCTTACTAAGACGGTTTATGGAGATGCTTTTGTGTTCAGCCTTTCTGTGCTACGCCAAGCTCTCTCTAAGCTCAATCAGGATCCCGAAAATGATAGAGTTCTCTTATACAAGGAGATGTTAATATGGTTGAGTCCATGAATACTAAACAAGAGTAAACTCTATAAAGAGACCATTTATCTTTGGGTGTGGTTTGTATAGAGTCTAGGCTCTAAACAATCAAATTAAAGCCTACCTTCAAATAGTTTTGAGAAGTGTAGTTTCAATACTGAAAACCTTTATGATTGCCTTAAAATATAATTTCATTTTTATTTATAAAGTTCAAAGTTTAAGAAATAGTGTAGATTGACATATCTATGAAAACTTGAAAATCTTGAAACTGACGGTCCAAAAATACATCACAAAATACACTATTTTCAAAACTTGACATCCACAAGATGATCAATTTGATGATATTTGGACATCAAAACAACTTCTTCTAGTGAAATTTTTTATGTAGGCTTCAATTTGATGGTTTAGATAAACTTTTTCCTTTATCTTTTGTACATGGAGGGCATAATCATTTACACTCATTCTACCGCTCAGTGCATCACTCGACGTAGAAACACGAGCATCAATCTCCCCAACCCCACGCTTAAACTAGAAGTGATGCAGATGGGTATCAAAAACCCTTAGAAGACCATGGCTACTCCAATGCAATTGTTCAATCCTCCATTTCAAGATTCGATATCAAGATCGATAAATATGGAGAGATTAGTAGGGCCGATGATTACGAGTCCAAATCCTCTTCATCAACAGTAGACAGAGAAGGGGGAGAAACAATGGGCTAATGCCTTCTAAGGTGGCCATGACAACCACTGTCATACAAACGAACAATGAAAGGATGAAGTCCTGAGTTGTCAAAGGATCTTGAGGACCAATGACACCTAAGATTCAAAAAGACTCGAGGGCTTGGGTTCAAGGAGATAGCAGCTAGGTTTTCATATCACTACATCTCAAGTTCCATTCATACCTAATCTTGTATAAACAAAATGAAGGGAAATCACCCATGTCGAAGGAAAACCTTGATAAATAATACTCCTTCAGCAATGAGTTGGTCCCTCAAATACTCTAACCACTTGTGTGACCGGACAATCGGAGCTTCCAATGCCCAAGTCCCAACCATTCAAAAATTTTATTGAACAAAGAAAGAAAGGCAATCATTAAAAAAAAAAAAAGGGTATAAAGAGACAATTATTTTGGTTCAAGGAGATCACAATTATTCTTGTCAATGGTGCTAAAATAATTGAAAATATTATTATTTTTAAATTGCAAAGTTTATTTATCTTTTTATATTCATGATCCTCAGTATCTAGATTACCGAACCTTAAAAGCTTCAATCCAATATCCATCTCTAAGATGGAAAATGGTGAGAGAACTCACACAAATAGATGAGTAGGCGGACTCACAAAAACCAAATCCTTTATTTTTAACTCTAAATTTGATTCTTCAAGCCTTTTTCATGTCGTAGAAAACAAATGTAAAATCCAAATCCAATTTATCGTAATGACTTGATTTGTAGGTTAATCGTATTTTCTAACACAAAAATAAATAAATAAGAAAACCTTATTGGTTTATCTATTAAGCATAGAAAGATTCAATAAAAGATAGAAACAAATCTGCCATGAATCCTCGAAAATATTAAAAATTGTAAAAAGGGTTGTAATCCGGTGCCCGTCCCACCTAAGCAGGGTCTCGAGAGGGATGGGCTGAAAATGGTCCTAACTTTTGGCTTATGGAAAAAGTGACCACTCTCAGGACTCGAACCCATATTCTTGCGCTTGTTACCCGAGCTTTTTACCGTCACACCAAGTGACAACCCCTTATTATGAACCAGCTTTTTGAAAACTCAAGATTATGAATCAGCAGGATTTATTTCAGATTCTTCTAGCATGAATCAAATGATTATCAAGTCAGACAAAGCCACACTTTACAATGACATTTAAAATTATTAGAAAATGAGAAAAAAAAAAAAAGTTATTTAGGAAATTTTTTATTTGGAGTTGCCCACCTTTTAATGTGGATCCAACTCAAGCGATTCTGAATCAGATCAACATAGTTTCAAATACTAGTGTAAAGTATGAAGGTGTGGTTTGTATAAGGCTGAAGCTCTAAACAATCAAAGTAAAGCACAGCGTCAAATAGTATCAAAAGATATTGTTTCAATACTGGAAATCTTTGTGTTGGCCTGAAATTCTATTTTCATCTTTAACTATAAATTTTAAAGCTTCGAAATTAGTGTAGATCCAGCAGATCTATGAATACGTGAAAATCTTGAAAATTGACGGTCCAAAAATGCATTAAATACTATTTTCAAAACTTGAAATCCATATTTTCTCATGTCCATGCATCTAAAGGTCAAGATGATCAATTTGAGGATTTTGGGCATCGAAACAAACTCTTTTTTTTGACAAATGTTATAATCTTTATTGATGAAGAAAAAAAAGAAAAAAATATAGTAAGCTTACATCATTTGAAACTAAAACGGAATGTAAGGTCATTCTCTTTTTCGCTAATGAATATGTCAAAGTGTTGGCCTCTCTATAAAGATGAGAAAAAGGAGATGAGCATATTGGCCATCAAATCAAAGATCTCGTTCCAAACAATTTTTAGTTCTAAGGGCACCCTTATTGCACCACTTAATAACACTCATAGTGTCACCTTCAACTGTCCAAAAAGATACCCAACCCCTGGGCTTAAAAAGGTCTCAAACATTGAAGCAAGGCTGCAAGTTTCACATAGTAAACCGTAGCCACACCTATTGGCCCAGCAAAGAACAAGATCGCCTCCCCCATTCTAATCTCCAATCGTTCCCCCTACACCGGCTTCACCAGGATTACCCAAATAACCACCATCAAACTTCACTTTAAAACGTCCCTGCAATGAAGGCATCCAGGCCTACTTTTCATATTTCTCATACCAACCAAGTTATGCAAATTTAACCTCACTTTCACTTCATAAATCCCCCATCTTTCTTTGGTGACAGCAAACCAACTCCAAATGGAATGATTAATTTTGATGAGAACCGTATCAAAAAGGTAAAACAACACCCTCTCCTATTGCGTTCTAGCCACACTTCCTACATAATGGCCCTTTTCCTTCTCACTATTTTCCATATCATACCGCCAATGTTTGGCAATGAATGAAAAGCCCGTTATGAAACAATACCCAAAACACTCTTAGCCATAAACCATATCTAAAGTTGTGCTACAAAGCTACTATATATAAAGAAATGAGCTCTAAACTCCCCATCGTTTTTACACAATAGACAAACATCAGGTCAGATTTTCTCCCCCTTAATAAGGTAGTCAATAGTCAATATCCTATTTTATGCCGCTAACCAAATGAATATTTGAACTTTAGAGGGATTGGCCTTTCTGTATCTAAACAACTTGTGGCAAGACAACCTCTTCTAGTAAAAATTTTTAGGTGTGTCTTAATTTGATTATTTAGAGTGTCGCACTTATATAAACTTTTTTCATGACCAAATTGATTACCTCCACTTAAAAAGAAAAATGGTAAATATGAATTTCCTTTATTCTCATGATACGAAAACTCAATTTCAAAAATTAAAAGTGAAAATAAAAATAGTACATACTCACTCCATGGAAGGAAAAAATTTTAAAAACAAAATGAAAAATCAACAAAAAAAAAAAAAAAAAGAACTATAAACACTCAAAATCCACACTTGTTCTCACAACCCCTGACCCACCACAAGCATGAATGCCGCAAACACTGCGGCGGCCGCTGTCCCGACCGCCGGCCCACTGGTGGCACTATCATCCGCTGTTGCATCAGCATCGGTCGCGGGGGCCCCAGCCTCCTTCTTCTTCTTCTTAGCCTTCCCTCCAGGTGCTGGAGCTGGCGCAGGAACTGCCGGCCGGAAAATGGCAATTGGCAATAACACCTTATCTACTTGATATACCGCCAGCTGCCCGTCCGTATACACGGTGTTTGCCACCGGAGCATCATTGATTCCGGTCGACACATTCACCTGATTGCCGGATGTCGTCACATTGAGCGGAAACTGATCCTCTCCGCTTCCCGCCTGGGTTCTGAGGGGATTGGTGACTGTCTGGAACTGTGGGACGGAGATGAAGCTCGGGATGATATGGAACTGGATAAGAGAAACTTTTTGCTGATCAGTGAGGGAGTTGAGGGTGCCCGGCTTGAGGGAGGAGAAGGCATTGTCGGTGGGCGCAAAGATGGTGAGGCCCTGTGCGGAGTTGTTGAGCTGCTGGTTCATCTGGTCGGCTACTTGTGTGGCTTTCATGAGCCGGATGAGCATCGTGTATTGCCCTGCCTTCTCCAGGACCGCCGTTATGTTCGTCGGCCCTGTCGGCGCAGGGGCCGAGGCCGGTTGGGCAAGGGTTGCAGAGCTGAGGAGTGCAATGAGAGAGAGTGAGAGGGCAAATGCATGGCCAAAGTCCATCCTCTCTCCCCCAATGTGTGTGTTTCTCTCTCTCTCTCCTTTGCTTGATGCTTTGAAATTGTGATGTTAGTGAGAGGAAGAAGAAGGGTTTTATGATGGAGAGGAGGAAGTTGGTGGGTTGGATCAGAGGAGGTGGGGAAGAGAGATCAGGAGAGCGATCCACCAACCGTGAGTTGTCCGCGTGCTTTGCTTCATAGAATTTGTTTGTTTTGGGGAAAAATTATTGATGGAATATGATGGTGTCCAATACTATTATTGATGAAATTTTTTTGTTTTGGGTTAAAATTATTGATGGAATATGATGGTGTCTAATAATAATAATCCATGGCTTCTTTGAGCCATGCTTGTTGGCATATTGGGAGATAGGACAATGGAAGGGGTGCCTCTCTCTCTATTGGGTGTCATATGGCGTCAACCTTATACTATTGAAGTAAGGTGCAACTTAAAACTATGCCGAAAATATAGTTTTGGTGCCGTAAAGCCTTGTGATGATATACAAATCAATTGTTGCCCCTAATTATTAAATTTGAAGTTTCAGATATAGTGATGATCAAGCACATCTATAAACACTTGATAATCTTATAAATGGACGGTCTAGATAATGTGTTAGAAGATGAACTATTTTTAATACCATAAATTCATTTTGTTTTTCTTTTCTATGAATCTTGAGGTAGAGATGATTGATTTAAGGGTTTTCCATTGTAGAAACAACTTTCTCTAGTGGGTTTTTAGGTCCACTTTACTTGTATAGTATAAATTTGACACCTTATATACACTTTTTTTGCTCTCTATTTTGTCAAGACTCTCTCTCTCTCTTGTTATTTGCACCTTAATTTTTCTTGTAATGGAGTGTTAGTTCAGCCATCCATGTTATGGACAATGAAAGTAGTCGGTTTTTTATAGCAGAGGACATTGATAACAAAATAAATGTTCACATGCTTAAGAGTAAAAAAGTATATAAAATAATTTTTCTGCTTAAGGCACATTTATCTCGTATGAAAATATTTTCATGTAAAAAAATTCTCTTGTGTGATTAGGTGGGAATATTTTCACATTAATTGATCTCAGTGTATCTTTTAACATTAATTGGCCATCAACTAGTGTGATAACATTCCCACAGCTAACCACGTGAGAAAAATTTTTACGTGAAAATATTCCCTAAAAAATCGTTTCATACAAAGCAAACATGCCCTTAGTACAAGGATGCATAATCACTCTTTGCCATGAGATGTAAAATTGGGTGGCTGGATATGCACAACTAATAGGGCTCAAGCCACCGGATTTAGGGCAAGAGATGATTATGATGCCCTATCACCAAAGACAATAGTTTTGTAGTACACAATCCCTATCCCTCATTTGATTGGAGGAGACTGATCCAAATGACTACATTTATTTTAAGGTCATACGAATAGTAATATCCTTTTTAATCATGTCTTTCAAGGGGAAACCATTCTGAGATCCACATGAGCTCATGACATATGTGATCATATAGCTCATCACCATCCAATCAAATTGTAGATTGTAATAAAGATAGAGAGAAAAAAGGTTTTATTAATAACGACTCGGCCTCCAATTTTTACTTATTAAGGTATTCATAATTGCAACACGACATCCGACGTTCGAATTTTGAGATACTTTCTCTCAACAATCTATTAATCATGCAGTCAGTCTTGTGTATTGTGTACCGTCCCTCGAGAAAGCTGATACCACAAACAAAGAAATTTTACAGCACCGAAAGAACATAGACAGTAGTTTTCTCTCTCTCCAAACAAAAGCATATATGCATGGAGTGGAGCCGAGCTGCAATAGAGGAGGAGCCACCAGCCGAGGTGGGCAGATCAGTGGATGGTTGCTTGTGATGGGAGCAAAGAGGAAGAGAGATGATTGAGGGGTTGTGCTGTTTGCTTAGGATTTAGGTTTTGTATTGCTCCAGCTAAGGTGGTCTCGAAAATATTCAACAAAAGAGGGCCCAAGTAAGGGAAGGGTTAGTATCATTGCACTTTTTTAAAATATTACTGGTAAATCCCCTCCCTACTTTCACATGTGACCCAAGGCACCCAACGTGAAAGGAAACCCTTTTATTATTATCTATATTCTTAATGAGTATTTCAAAATCTGGATTGACAGGGCAGATTGCTCACCCCAATGATTCATGCCAAATTGCCGAATCGTCAATCCAGATCGGTAGGAATCGGCAATCCATAAAATATTTAAAATAATAAAATAAAAAATATAAATTAAGGGCTACGAGTAGGGGTGGCAACGGGTTGTGTACGGGTGGGTCCGGTTGGACCCGAATAGTATTCAGGTCCCAAATTTGGACCCATACCCCAACCCATCAGGTCCTGGGTCTACCTATCGGGTCCTAGGTCTAGTCAGATCCATCACCACCCAATGACTATGAGCTTATTATTATTTTTATTTTGCCTATTTTTTTCTTTTTTTAACTATCATACATCTTATGATTATGAGCTTCTTCTTTTTTTTACCAATAATATTGTAAATGTTGTCAATATTATGACAATATTAACACCTAACGCGTGCACCCAAAGGCACATGATTTCCATCATATACCCTATGACTATGTGTACGGGCCAAATCCAGCTGCACCTGGACCCGGATCCGAATGGTATTCGGGTCCAAAATTTAGACCCATACCTGTACCCAAGGTCGGGCATTCCCGTCGAGTCCCGGGTCCGATCGAGTCCATTGCCACCACTAGTTACAAAGGGAATTTAGGGGATCTAAAAAAATATTAGATAAATTTTAAAAAGAAAAATATATATATATAAAAGGTAGGGTTTGGGGGTGCACCTGACCATAACCAATACCATTTGGAGTCCGTTTGGTCCGGCCAAATCCGGATATGAATTGGAGATCTCTAATCCGAATCGGTGGTTATACAACACTATTTTTCTTACTTATTACACTTATGCCCCACTTCCAAGTAGTATGTTGACTTCTTGTTGAGATATCATTCCCTTCTATTGCAATTGAATGTGACATTTACTTGACCGGAAATATGTGCAACTAATTCCAAATTAGTCCAAACTTCCCAAACAAAGTTATCATCCTTAAATGAAACTTCATTACTCGCGAGAAGGCAAACCTTCCAAGAAGTATACCTAGAATCAAGATGGCGTAGGCGAGATGTGTTCGATGTTTGAATTTCACTAGAAGTTTGTATTAAGCAGACAACCAACATAAAACTTTATTTAAAAAAGACGTAGTTATTGTAAAGGTCAATGCAAATATACGATAGATTCCAAATAAATAGTCCAGATTGTCATTTCTCAAAATCTAATAGGGTTTTTTTCACATTCACAAGTTACATTTCAAGTGATTCTGAAGTGCTAGACAAACATAAGAGAGTCCAATCTCTAAAGATCCCGAGTCCTCACAAGTTATCCCCAAAGGCATGGCTATTAACAAGGCTCTAAAGATCTCTGATTTGGATTGGGAATCAATGATCCAAATCAATAGCAATAGGTACCGGGATTGATTTCTTTTTGGAATCAGGAATCACCCCAATTTGAACGGAGAATGCCTAGTTTGTTAGAGAATAGGGAATTACTGACTATATTGGAGGAACTGGAAAATTCCCTAATAAGCTATTGTAATATTACTTGTTTTCTAACATTTTAATGGTTTGCTTACCCGAAAGAATCGACAACTCCATATTGGAATTGATGATCCAAATTGGTACAATGGAAGGCCGATCCAAGGGAATTGATGATCCGAATTAGTACAGTGGAAGACCGATCCAGTGTAATCTTGAAACACTAGCTATTGGACCCCCATAGACCTCCAACACAATTGGATAATTCCCTAGATAATGAACGTGAATTTAGATGCCCTAGAGTGATTGAAACCTAAAACTTTTTTGTAAGGGTGAGGTTTGGTTTTCTGGACATGGAGAATCGAGTTTGGGTCTAGAAATGAGGATATGTGTGCATGTGTATATGTGTGTAGGAAAAACTATCAATAGGTTGTCACCTAAAATGAATAGAAATCAGATTAAGATGAGATTTTGAGCATGTATCACTAAAAAATTTAAAATGAATATTTTCCAAAAACTTTAAAATGACTTGACTACCTCCAAAACAATTTGGTCATTTTAAATTTTAAATATTTTTATATTCTTATATTTTTATAGTTTATAATAAAAATATGAAAATTAAAATAGTAACATACATTTTTAACCATCAATTACTCTTAAGAGAGACAAACTATTTCTACTATTCTCCTCTTGTATCCTCAACTGCCCACTCCATTTTACCACTCAACCATCTCATGTATGTTATTTATATCTATACTACATTATTAAGCTAGAATTAAAATGTAGACACGTGTCGCAAGAATAAAAGGAGATCATATTTTTAGAAAGAATATAGGGTAAGTGACTTCTAAAATAAAGAGGGAAGGGTTTATTGTAGGGTCATGGATTCCATTTTTTTAAGTTATGGAACTCCATTTTGCCTATTTTTTGTTCTATTGAACTATTTAGGTACAAGATAGAAAGGAAAAGATGGGATCCTATTAAATAGGAATCATATCTTAGTGTTTTTGTGATTTATATCTCTCTTCACTTACCTGCTAAGCATGGAATCTCCCTCAATTTCCAACTGCATCTAAACTACAAAGTTGTAGGTTTTTAAAAAGATAACCAACACCGGATAGTTATATATGCACGATATTTAACTCTTGCAATTATTTTTAATGTAATATATTTTATAAATACATAAAATGCTATTGATATATGGGATTAAATGAAGTTTGGGATATGGCTTAATTTATAGATATTTTAGAAACTAGACTTTGATTGGTTAGAGCATAGGTTAAAACACATAATATAAAGAGTTTTTCTTTTGGATAAAATATGAAACTTATGCGTGAAGTACTTTTTCTTTTTATTATATATATGAAACATGAATGGAGATCGAAACCCTAGAGATAAATTTAATAGGAACCTCCAGCATCCTCCATTTTACTTTTTCCAAAAATTTCTGAAGTCTTTTCATGAAAACTTTACTTGTACGTTTCAAGCTTCTAAATTTTATTTATTTTTTGTTTTTTGTTATTTTGTTAAACTTAAGAACGGTTCAAAATATGAAACAAGTTTCTAATAGTATAATTTTTAAATTATAAATTTTCGGTCTTTGAAATAATTTTTTACTTTTAAAAATTTTATATTTCTACTACAACAAATATTTAAAAAATATGTTGTATGAAATACAAGCATATGAAATAGAAAAAATAGGAAACCAACTTTATTCGTTCTTTGATTTTTTAAAAAAATTAAAGTTTTTTAGTATGTACTTTTATGCTTAAGAGAACATATACCCAGCTCATGTCAAAGCAAACTGTACACCTACTGCCTCAGTCAGAAGACTTATTTGGGAAGATTGTTTTAATCTGAAATTTTTAGAACCACTTAAGGATCTCTAGATAATTATTTTAAAATAAAATTTTGAATTTAGATATTTCTAACCCTTAGATCTCATCCTTCAAAAATTAGACAATCTATGTTCACTTTTAAGACATTATTTTTCTAAGAGTGCAATTTGGAAAAGTAATTTATTGAGGTCGGTTTATAAATTAAAGAGGTCACATCCCCAAATTTTGGGGTCAAAAAGTTATTCCTAGATTGGATTTTACCCAAGGGAGTAAATAGACAGTATACTCCTTCGGGTGTATAGATTTTTTAGCTATGTTTAAAAAATGGTTTATAACTAATTTTTCTATGTCAAAGTATTTATATATTTTTATGTCCATTCTATGTTATTTTCAAATATTTTTAAGCTTTCATTTCAAATTACATAATAAGAAAATTAGTTTTAAAATCATTCAAATTTCAATTTATAAATTTTGGATGATTTCAGTTTTACATGGCTCATGAACATGTTTTCTTAAGGAGTTTCAAATTATCAAAAAAATTTGGAGAAGTTCACCATAAGAGTAATTTACAAGATTGATGTATCTTCTCAACTTCATAAGAGTGGTTTAGCGGTTGTTTTTAATTTCTCAATTTTATATCTATAGTTTTTCAATAAAGTATATGAGAATAATTTTTACATTTTATTAAAATATATCAAATATTCAAAAAAATTATGTTATCTTGACTAAAAAATTGAAGCCAATTTATTTATTTTAAAAAAATTTAAAATGCTCATGCTTTAAATATAGTCGGTGATTTATTTTTACTTTTAAGTAAGAATTAGATAAAAATAAAAATTATTACTATTTTATTACTACATGCTTTCTTTCTTTTCTATTACACTATTAGGTTATTAAATTTGATTTAAAAGCTTTCTAAAAGTTTATTGAACTTTTATGCGTTTAGATGCATCCACAAAATAGCTTTTATAATAGGAACAATTTTATATAGGGTTGAGACCTTAAAATGTAGAATTAAAGTGCACCGCTAAAATCTTTTAAAAAAGGCTGTTTTGATATTGGAAAAATATCATTAATTATCTTGACATCGAGATGCCTAGATATGAAGAAAAAAAGATGTTCTAAGTCTTAAAAAAATATGTCTTGCAATACATTATGCGGACCATCCATTTTCAAGATTTTTATGAGTTTATAAATCATTTTGATTTGAACATTTTTTGGAATTTGAAATTTTATAATTAGAGGTAAAAATAGATTCTCACATAATCGTAAGAATTTTCAACGCCTTTTACATCTCATGACAATGTTCCTTAATTTGACTGTTTAAAGTTGCAACCTTATAGAGGCCACACCTTCTTCTTCTTTTCTTTTTTTTTTCTTTTTTGAAAGTCAGTGGCGGAAAAGCCCCCTACCCGTTTTGCAAAGGTTATAAAGATATGATATGCATTCTTATAGAGATTAAAATATTTATTTAATACAAAAATTAAAAATAGTTTTATGACTAGTTTTAAAAAATTAAGTAACAAATAATAATTTTTTGTTTTACTTTTCTTTTTAACCATAATTTCTTTTCTATATTACTAATAGAGATCATTGAATATTTAGTTAATCTTCTACAAATAACTGTATACCTAATTCGACTATAATACTATTAAATCTCTCTCTCCCATATTCTCAGCATTTGTTCTCATATTCTCATTTGTTCGAGTCAACACTCGAAGCATGTCTGCTTCTCTATGTTTTAAGGGTGTGGTTTGCATGAGGTTGAAACTTTAAATAATTAAAGTGAGGCGCACCTAACTTTATCATGAGAGGTAATTTTAGAGTCGAAAATTCTAAAGATGACCTGAGGATCTGTTTTTATCTCTAGTTATAAAATTTTAAACTTCAAAAGTGGATGAAAATCCTAGAAATGGATGTTCTAAATAATGAAGTACAAAGATGTACTATCTTTAGGATTTGAAATTTTTATTTTTATTTTTCATATTCATACAATTAGATAGTCTTCAAATATCAAAACAACCTTTTTAAATAGATTTTGTAAACAACCTTTTTAAATAGATTTTTGAGATGCAACTTAATTCTATAATTTAAGGTGCCAATCTTTTATATAATTTTTTCATGTTTTAAAAACCAAACAATAGAAATAACTTAAGGGATAGATGGATTGACCGAAATCAGCCACTGCACTTACTATGCTAATGTTGCTTTGCACTCATTTGGGAGTGCTTTGGGAGTGCTTTTTTTTAGAGTGATTTATGTACGGACCTTCAAAAAAATTTAAATATAAAATATTCCATTTATAGGTGCAAATTACAAATAAGGTTAGTCAATTTACTTTAAAAAAAAAAAAATTGCCCCTCGATTCGAGGACATCTTCGGACCAATTTGTTTTTCAAAAAAACTTTAAATAAAATTCAAATTAGGACCAAGGATTCCACCCTCAAACCAATGGGTAATTTCGGAAAAAAAAATAAAAATAAAAAAATTGGCTGACCTTCTTTGTAATTTCTGCCCATAAACGGAGTATCTCATATTTTAAAAAAACTTTAGGGTCCAAATGTAAATCATTCTTTTGTTTATGCTAAGCCAAGCGAGTGCGACTTATGCTATTGCTGATACATGAAGGGGATTATATATGGCTGGGGTAAGAAAATTCGAAAAAACATAAACTGAAAATATGGTGAAAAAAATACATTCACCAGGGCTGGTTTAGGCTCAGTTTTGAACAAGTTAAAAATCTTAAAGGCAACGGGTAGAGAATCTTAACCTGTAATTTTAGCTTCCAATGGCGCCAGTACCATTGCAACACCATTAATATGATCATCATGATCCAAGCTTTATCTTAACTATTTGGAGTCGGTTTCATGAAAAGATGTGACAAAATTTTATATTGATTACCTGCCTATCACAAATCTCATCCGTTACCCAAACTTGGTACCGGCATGGGCCAGCCATGGCGGAGTTAATGGCAACATTGCATCCACACAATAAAAGTAAAAGATCCTATATTAGGGCTAAGAATGGATCCCATACCAGGTAAATTCTCAGCCCTAGTCTACATCTCTTTTCAAATAATGCCAAAGATATCTACACTGTTTCGGTTTGAGTTGCCAAACCTGCGACATTGAGCAAAAACTGAGCATTAAGCGCCAACGCAGCATCACTCGAAAAGCACAAGATACTCTCATCACCATAAACTCAACCTATTACAACTCTATCATCCTAAGGTTGAAGAAGACTGTCCAATTTTCAAACAATTAGATTCCAATTTTTAAATAATTAGATTCGAAGGAAAGCAATATCCAAATCTCAAACAATTAGATTTCAATTTTTAAATAATTAGAATAGAAGGAAATCAAGATCCAAATTGTATGCAGATCATCTTCATCGTCAGAGCCTCATCCCAACTATTTAAATACTGCTATCTAAATTGCAGATAGATTTTTTTGAGAAAATATGCCTTGTTATATTTCACTGCAGTATGTGGAATTCAATTTCACATATTCTATGTGCCCTAGGGACCATAGTATACTTTCACACCCTCAAAAGATCGACTAACAACTTTATTTTTCAATCAAAAACCACTTAAAGAATTACTAGGTAATTATTCACAAAAAAAAATCAATTCACTACGATCTCGACATTTAAAAGTGTATGGTCTCTATTGAACGTCAATATATTACTATTATTTTGCACTTTTTCATGTGCATAAAAGATACAATTAGGAAATTATTTCATTGAGCATAATCTATGGATTGAAGGGGTTACATTCCAAAAAAATTTAGGATCCTAAAACTAATACTAAATGGGATTTTACCTGAAGAAGTAAATGCATATTTTACTCACGAGGGAGTAAAATGAATTATCTTTAAACTTCGATAATTGATTATAATATAAAGGCACGTTTTCTAAGCGGCCAACCCGGGTATTGTAGAAATCCAGGCTTAACAATAAATATATTTTTTTGTTATAATTTGGTCTTAAGTTCTAGGGAATATATCATCTTTAACACAGATCAGAAATATAAAGATATAAAAAAAATGAAAACTAGAAATATAATTATATTTATAAAACATTTGAACAGTTAGTTATAATTGTTTTTAGATGGTGCACCTATTTGCATCAATCTTCAAAATGGATGCTTTAGGACTCTGGACGGCATAAAAAAGAAATGCGATCAAGCCCGCATGAAACAAATTTTCCAAAAAAGAAGGTACATTGAGACCATTTACTTTAAGTGCGGAGACAACATCACAATCACTCTTGCCTATTGAATGTGAAATTCAACAAAGTGAAATGCAACATAACATTTGAGAAATTTAAGTTTGTGCCCAACCAATGTCCCATCCCCCACCACCTGAGTTTCACATCTAACGGCTGATTTCACATCCCTCTACCACCTGCAACATGCAATTCAGCGCTTTGCACTGAAGATGGGCACAGGCAAAAGTGCAAACTAATCCACTATCTACTGTGTATAATCTTTTTTTAGATAACTGATAATTATTAGTATACGAGTTTTCCTCTTTTAGAGAATGAAAACCCTAAATGTAATCCCAACAAGAATGACAATATAGCTAGAGAACTGTATTCATTATACGATACCATCAGCATCCCTATTCTCTAGGCTTTTTCTCTTCCAAGAACAAAAAGAGAAAAAAAGAAACTCGAAATCTTCATTGAAGAGAACCCGCCATCAAAATCAACATGTTTTGACAGGAAATTCACGACCGACGAAAAACCCTCGGAAGATACAACAATTATCCAAAACACTCTTCACTCTGGGTCATTGCTTCCGCCACCGTTCACTGACGTATCCCCCATTTCAGTGTCCACTTCACCCTTCTTACCAGCTACATAAAATACAACAGGAAAGTGTTTGAGATGCGTTCATATATGCTTAATGGGGCTGAGTGTGAGTAAACGTAAACAAACACCACGCTAAAAACATATAAATATAGTACCTTTCTTCTTCTTCGGCTTCTTCTTTGTCTTGGTCCCTAGAGCCAACCAGGCCTTGATCTCTGGGTCCTCGATTTGCTTAGAAGGCTGCAAGTCCTGCAGTGGATGTGATGTGATCCTATCCGACCCACTTGGCAGTAACAACACCGTGAATTTGATATGAGCCACAAGATCGCCTACAAAAACCCACCCATCACTTTTTTCATCCTGACTGTTTCTTTCTAAGATAAAAAATAATAAAGACGTTTTTTATTGAACACCCATACATGCATAGATAATTGCACTTCAAATCTGGAATATATATATATATATTTGATGTGTGAATTTATAAAAAATCATTATTTTTTATATAAAAATGTAATAACTTAATCATAAAACCAAATTTGAAATTTTTACAAAAGTACAATAATATTTTGAAAGTTATTGTCGTTGAATTTTATTTATAAAATACCCTTGTACATTACCTTCATCCTTTAATAAAAATTTCAACTTTACCTTTTATAAAGATGACAAAAATACTCATTATCTTTTCGTTTACACAGACAAACCTTGCTTAACGAGCAAAATATCATAAAAAATCACTTCTTTTTAAAAAAAAAAACCTACATTAACCACTC